ACGAACCATGCAATTTAATTAAAAATCCACATGGTCTGGTGTAGGATTCGAAGCCGCTCTGTCTCTGAACCACAAACTTGCCTATAAATAATATAAGCGCGTTAGACAGCTACGCTACCGACCCGACATAAATTAGCTATTTATGCAACCAGTTATGAAATGCCTTATTTCATGTAACGAGTGAATATTTGCAGGACGAGTAGAGCGAGGTCCCGCAACATGAACGAGTTACATAAAATGGCATTTCGTAACGTGTTACATACAATATTTTTTTCTAAATTTGACTAATTATTTATAAAATTGTGTTTTTGTAAAATATTACTGACATCTAGACAACCAATATTAGCTGCATATGCATCATTTTATTGACAAATAGAACATCATATAATTATTTATTCTCAAGGACTTGTAGCGTGTTTATATTGCTTATTAAAGTTAATAAGTTTTCAAAAAAGTGGGTTATTTTGTCGAGTATTGTGTTTTAATTATTTTGTGCTGATTTAGAATGAAAAATAAGGACCTAAAAAACATTAATACTAGGTTGTAAGTTCAACCAAATTCTATTTTTATAAGTCAACCAGTTCTTCTTTGATATAAACTTTCAATAATAATGTATATCCAGTGATTTTCAGATAAAAGTACCTCAAGTAACTTTTGAAGGTCTAATTATTACAAAAACAAAAAAATATTGTGCCATATGTAGGTTTTCTGAAAAAGTCACTCTTTCACACCTGCTATCATCCTTTCAATTTGGCTATTTTCTTCACAATACATATTTGTTGACTAGAAAGTACTCACACATTGGCGTAGCTAGGGAGGGGCCAGGGGGGCCTGGCCCCTCTTGATGTACCTCTGCCCCCCCTGAAAGAGTTAAATAAAAAACAGCGCATCAAAAAAACGTAGTAGGTGAATTTACTTATATTTTTTATTTATTCAATTTAATTTCCAATAAATTGGAAGAGCTTAATTTTAGCGACTTACAGATGGTAGGTCAATCCAACGACGGAGCTACGGTGATGTCGGGTAATATAAATGATCTCCAAGCAAATAGCTAGACAAATATCCAACTGCAATTTACAGGGGTTTCTAAACAAAAGGTTCTCATCAGAAAGTATGGTGCTTGCCAATTCTGTGGATAATTTTTTCAGTTAGATTTTGAGGGTTTAGCGGAATTCATTGAGCAATACCGAAAAATTTTGAATATTAAAGGTCTGAAATTACCGTTTAAAAAACTGCATTCTTCAACCGTTGGTTATTATTCTATCAAAAAACACAACAGAATCAGAAAAAACATACCAAAACGTCTATTAACCTTTTAAAGTTGCGATTATTCTACCTATTTCAAGTGCGACGTGCGAGTGTGCGAGAGGTAATTTTCTGCCATGAGGAGGATTTTTAATTGGTTGAAAACGACCATGACTCAAGACAGACATTCAGATTTGTCTTTGTTGTTCATAGAAAAAGATGTTGATATCGAATTGGACAGTGTTGTAGATTCTTTCAGTCAATAGCGTAGAAAACTTCTGTTGTAGATAATCAGTACTTTTAATATTGTTACGCAGGTTTTTGGTATCACAATTTATTTCAATTCAACTTTTACAATAACTATCCAACTGATAACATTAACGCTTAACGTCTATCATAAAACTGATAACTCACGTCAGGATCATCCTTATATAGCTTGCTTGACCCTTCTCGAACCTTCTCGCATTGTCGTCTAGAATATTCTTGACGGGTAATGACATTTTCAGACATTTCTGGACTATTCTATCTTCTTTTACTTGTACTTTTACTTATGACGACCGCAGCACATTGTAGGTCGATGAGTAATATTCCACTTCTTTTTCTATCTGTACGTTTCCTATAATAGCCGCAAGCTACTGCAGGGTGCTGCGTAACAATATTAATCGTTATGTTTATAAGTTATTAAATGTATTAGTTATTTTGAAATATTAAAACCACTGTTTACTATTATAGCGTATTTTTTACCATTCATTGCACCGCAATTTAAAAAATATATATTTTATTAAAACGTACACCTGGGGCCAAGCGCCCCCCCCCCCCCCCCTGAAAACTGAGGCTAGCTACGCCGATGTACTCACAACTTAATTTGAACTAAATATTCATAAATAAGCAGCTCTAAAACGGAAATTATTGAAAGGTGCTATGAATAATTATTATCAATGGGCTCTCTAATACATTTCCAATAAAGTAATCCATAGGGATTTACAATTTCTTACCTTTAAAGTCGTAAATGATGTACAGAGCAGCTTATCCTAAGCAGATTATAAGCACATCCCAAATCACTTAGGCATCAACTTACTTGTCAACACCCAAGAAGTGTACAAAACTTAATCATCTTAAAATATTAGATTTAGTTCCTAGATTTAAATATTTACAACATTGTCTAAATGTAAACATAAAACTTTTTCAGTCATCTAACTTTGATTAGAATTCGTATAGATTTAAACCTATGTTGTTATTCACTAAAAACAAAAATTGTTGAATATTCAAACCTGAAATTATAATTCTAGCTTAATATGTTCAGTTCAATTATTTTTCTAATTAACAAATTTATATTTGATTAATTTTGAGTAATTTTTTTACACATTTCTCTTATGCCTAACAGAGACTAAGACAGGGAAGATACAGCTAAAAACAGAACAAACACATAAAAATACAGCAAAAATTCAAATAATTATTTAAAATAAAAACAAAATACCTAACGAATTATTAGTAATATCTATACAAATTTTTATTTATTTGTGCTTTTTTCAGTAGTAGAATTTGTTTCAATGGGCCTAAACTAAGATCGGTGTAGCCCAAGAGCCTACTGCAAATTTTCGCCGTCATCTGATGACGAAATGAAATATGCCCAGAGGACATGTAATAACATTGTACTTTTCCAAATGGCACCTGTGCCAAACCCATAAGACATGACAGCCCTAATTTTGTTTGCCTTGAAAGTTTTACAGGAAATAACATATTCAAATATTCCTTGAGTACATCGTTAAAGGGAAACACTTTCTTACCCTTAACATCGCACAAAAAAACATCTATCCATGATAATAGATAAAAATCATTAAAAATATGAATCAATTTTTGCTGATTTGAAGATGTATTTGTATACTATCGTTGTGATTTAATTTACAGGTTGTCATAGAAACGACAAAAAACTAACAGGATTATGGTTTAAAAGAATTGTCTAACAAGAGTTTCTAATAATCTAAACAAATGGTTTATACAATGCCTTCCTTCTTCCTTTCACACATACACATGGTTTAAAATGTAAGTAAAAGTAGTAAGAGCAAACCGAATATTTTGAAAATTTATAATTCATTCTGAGCCTTTATTTTTAGTCCGATTTTTGTGAAATTTTCAGAAAATATAACTAATAACAAAACATAGCGTGGAGAAACCTTGAATTTTTTGTAAACCTTCGAAAAGTATTTATTTTGAAAATGTTTAAAAGAAATTTCAAAAAAACATTTCTGCGCCATTCTGTATTACATCTATGAAAATTTGCTGCTTTTTGTTTTAATAAATATCTAGAAGTTTTTAAATGATATGCTTCCCCACCTTTTTTTCTTAAACGTCTCTGTAGAGTGCTGCTTTATCGTTGCACAAATTTAAAGCTCTTAATATTGTCAAGACACATAATAGCACGAAGTATTTCCAGTGGCACGCATATAAATACAATTTTATATTAGAAAATCCTTAAATCATTTTTGCTTTCGCGAGAGGTCCGGTTTCCTCTTAATACTTCAGGTTTAAAAGCTAGGTTCACAATGAATTAGGATTGTAAATTTCAGGGCAAACAAAATTATTATTGTCATGTCTTATTTGATTTTTTGAATATACATTTTTTTGTTCTGGATATGGATAGGCCATTTGGTGAAGTAACGTGACAAAAATAAAAAAGTTAGTTAAATATTGAACGAGAAATATAATTTTCAAAGTCTGTGTGTTTAAAAAATCTGGATTAAACAAAATAACCTAGATATACACACTTATGATTCCGATATCAAGTACAGTGGCCCATGGACTATAAGTAGTGGCCCGTTTTGAAACGTTAGAGACACGAAGAAACTATTATAAATTACCTCTTTGGTGCTTTGGTAGATGGTAAAGGCTCGGGGGCATTCCACGAGGTTCGTTTTAGATTGTTAGTTTGTGAGTCAGTGGGCGTTATATCTTTTACAATTCACTGCCTATAGTCGCAGCCGGTACTGTCTTTATTTTATACCTTTCCTTTTCTTACAATATTATTAGCCTTTTTATTCTATCGTATCTAGCAGTGGGTTTTATTTTATATTCCTATCGCATTGTAAAATGTGTTGTTCGTGAATAAAAGTTTTATACAAACGAAAAATAAATACATAACTACCGCATTAGAGCAACCACAGTCGGTGACAGAACATTTTGAATAGGTGAAAGTCTGCCAACAGCAAATAATTATTGACATCAAATGTGAATCAGATCAAAATCAAATCATGTCACATCCTTTTTCTGTTTCGCTGTTTATTGTTTCTTAAAAATGCGCGAATACTGTCAAAAATGTAAAGGGTGTTTTATTAGCATATATCTCAAAAATCATTGACCTAAAATATTATTATTAAACCTAAAACGAGTATACAAAATAATTTGTTTTTTAATGAGATACAAGGTGTTTATTTTGAGACTGTTTAATATTTCTTTGTAAAATTTGGCAGAAGGCTTAAGAACTTTATAACACCACCCTGTATATTAAACGATAGGCATTACAGCTTCATTTTCAAGCTATGTTATTACTCATCCAACGAAAAGATTATAACGTAAAAGACAATATATCAACATCACAGAGTTAAGTAATTCGAAAAAGATAAATAAAAGGAATAATGCATGATTTGAAACCATAAACATGTAATCAATTACAGAGCTCAATTAGCAGTTAATTACTCTGTATGTTTAAATTTACACAGATTAATGTATTTTAATGATATTATATGTTAAAGACTTACGTGTAGCTTCCATGGGTATTATGACACTTTCCATGTCGACAGGGCTTCTGTTTACATTCATCTTTGTCTTCTCTGCACGACGCCCCTGTAAAACCAGGAGCGCACGTGCATTTGTACGATTCACCGACCGAAATACATTCGGCGGCGTTCCGACACGGTTGCGACGCACAGTGGTCCTCTTTCTCGCAATGTTCTCCTAAAAAAAATAAAAAAATAATTTAATAAATTATGCATTACAGTAAAATATTTATTATGAACTAAAAACGATCATTTTCTTGACTGATTAAACGGGTACTTTAAGAGCTGTCAAGAGTGCGAGTAATAATAATTATTTGTTTTATAAGGCCGAAAAAGATCATTAGACGCAAAATTCGGCTAAAAGATTTACAAGTAAAATAAGAAAATGTACCATAGTTCCATGGTTATTTAGTATTTTTGGAGCTATCGGTATACAAAATATGGTAAGTGAAGAAGATAAATAGCATTATAGTACTACACTGGTATTATATAAGGTGTTTCAAAAAAATGCCATCGCTCATTGTGTGATTCCTTGCCCAAAAATATAACAAATGAATCCCATCAACATGGGTCCGCAGATGCTTCTTCGTTTCAAAGATGCAGGGTGTACCAATTTTACATTCAATAAAAAAAATTGAGAGAGAAATTTGGAAAACAGTCAACAGTATCTAAAACTATTATAAGTCAATAAAGATGACACTAGCATAATACATTTTTTTTACGATTTTTTTTTTAAATAAATAAAGCACTTCGTAGATTAAATTTTGAATGAAAAAGTTATATTATTTACAAAAAGTTCAAATAAATCTTATGCTTCTGACAAAATTGTTGAACTTTAACATTGAACGAATTAAATTTAACCAATAAATAACAAGGAGAATTATTATGTTGTTAATTGGATTAAATTTTTTTTAATCTCTTGGCATTAAAATAACACTTCAGTACCTAAAATCAAAAATTAAAAAAAATTTAAAGTTCAAGAACTAAAAATTACTGTCTTCACTATAACTACTAGTATGAGTGTCATTGTTTTTTTCTGATATTTATTATAATAGGCATTATATTACTCTATCCACTTTCCAAAATGAATTTTTCGCCATTTTAACATGATCAATCCAGTTTCTACAATGTTCTCCATTTACATCTGAAACTGCCTTCAGAAACAAATTTCGCACATCAGGTAATTTAAATGTTGTATTGTTTCGAGAAACATAACCTTTTAATTGTCACCAGATCAGTTCAATGGGATTTAATTCTGCGTGGCAATCTGAGAATTTCAAATCCTTTTTTCGGGCCATCTCGTCTATAATATATTTTTTTAATTTGTTTTTTATGTTGCCTTACTATTACGAGTAATTCTGCTTTCAAGGATTTAGGAGGACTTACAATATTTTTAGAATGAAGCCACGCAATAATCGACTGTGATAGGATGCAGTATTCGAAACAATAATTTTTTTTACAACGTTCTGAAACCAATTTTCAAACATAGGGTCTTCCATTTCTTCATTGTAATATTTTGTTTTCTTTGACTCGAACATTAATGGCAAAAATCCATCGGTGCTTCCAACGTGGGTTATTATTAACGATTTCCTTTTCCTGTTGGATTTTTTATTATTTTTTAGTTTTGATGGAGGTATCTTGCCAAATTTTTGTTACTATATGTCCAGCATTATCCAATGTTTCATCTAAATAAAATACATGTTTATGCTGATTCCTTGCGTCCGCTATTTTCCTTAAGTAATCATGTCTGCATGAAATGATTTCGTCTTTCTCTGTTAAAAATCTGTTTCTGTTTTTTGTAACGAAAATTTAATTCAAGTAATATTTTATGCAGATGAAAATATGGTATATTTGGAAGAGTGGGGCTATTTTCTAGTTCTGAGTGTAATTTTTTAAGTGTAGGAATTTCATTCCGAAAGAAAAAATAATGTACCATTTGCCTTATTACATTATTTACTCAAGTTTCAATAAAGGTCTTGTTTCTTCCTGTGGGATTTTTGGGATGTGAAACTGTATCTTCATTAATAATGTTACACACACAAAAAAGTCTACCTACTGTCCACAAACATATTCACCAAGTTCTTAGTCATCCTCGCTCCCAAAATTAGATATTTCTGAAGATTCACAACTTGCTAAATCATAATTATTACTATTAGTAATATTTTCAAATTTAAATTGCTTTATACATTAATTTTTATTAATATTGTTTAACCGTGTCCATATGACAGTGGTGACAAGCGACACTTAAAGACGTTGACCTGTCAAATGTGTTCACCTCAGTGTGGAACATGTTTCTCCAAGTGTGATTCGAGTGTTTGGAGGTGGTTAAAGGAAATCAAAATTTCTTAGTATTGAATTTTAACACCCCATTCTCAACATAACATAGTATTGAATTTAAAGAAAATTTTTCCAAATTTGATTTATTTGTTAGATAAATTTAAATAAATGTTTAATATGAATTGATCTTTTTAATGATCCTTTTAATGTCAAGACAAAACAAAAATATCACTAGCGTGATTCTGATGTGCTAGCCCGGGCTCTGCAGAACTTTTTTCAGAGAACCCAAGATGGCAATTTAAATTTGAAAATATTACTAATAATAATAATAATAATTATGATTTAGCAAGTTGTGAATCTCCAGAAATATCTAATTTTGGGAGCGAGGATGACTAAGAACTTGGTGGATATGTTTGTGGACAGTAGGTAGACTTTTTTACAATAATTATAATGTAAGGAAAAAAACCTTCAGTTTTTTTCCTTTGGCCTTTTGCGTTTAACCTTTTTCATATTAACTATTGTATTCTAAATTTAAATTTCAATATATTTTCCACAGTCACCCTCTATTTGTAAATTTTGTTAACTTGTTTTCAACTGTATTCAATGCGAATAGTGAAGGTGGTATAATTCCTTAGTTCCACACAAGCTAATTTGCTTCTGGAGGTCAGATATGATTTTTTAGGGGCTTATCCCACACTCACTATTCCCAACACTGGGTTATGCCACTCTGTTTGTTATCTTTTAATTGTTAAATTGTTCAAAATTACCTTATATATGTAATTTCAACTTTTGACTTAAAAGTCTTACTCAGATTTTATTTTTACACATATTTATAAATTGTAAGTTTACATCCACAATTTTTGTAGATAAGCACTGATGATGGCACAATGCCGAAAGCGCTCTGCATTTATTAATTAAAAAGTTTTGCACGAAATACAAGTCTTTCCTTTTGAATCTAAACTACGTGCACACAGCTGTCAACCTGTTTTGGTTATTTTAATTTAAATATTTAACTAATTGTGCTATCAAAAAGTCACTGACGTACATATTTTTTATTAAACATTAATAAAGCGCTCGTTCTCACGGGCGCCCGTTGTAAATTTTTTTTAGGTACATTGTACAACCAAAATATTCGATAATATTTTGGAAAATCAGTAAAAAATAAAATTTTAACACCCTGTATTTTTGAAACAAAGCAGCTGCCCCATGTTGATAGCAACTATTTGTCTTATTTTTGGGTAAGGAATTACCCCTAGACTGATACATATAAGGGCCATCCAAAAATATTGCGGATTTATAACTGTAACGATAGTCTAATTTATTTATAGTTTATTTATTTAAAACACACTATTTACAATTTATTTATGACGTACTATTTAATTTATATAATACTTAGACACTAACTAACAATTCTAATTTATTTATTACACTTTAACTTTTCATTACAATGCTCTAAACTAAAACTAAACTGAGCCGGCTATTTATATTAGTTCAACTCTGCTACTAGAAGACACCAGAGGCTCTCGAAAATTCCATCTCTGACTCAACGGCACTCTCTGCCCGTTCTAGCCGTTTCTAGTGCGTCAGCGGCATTCCTGAACGTTCCGTCGCCTCGAGAACGGGTCGGTTGCCATCTGAAGGTCGCGCTTACACAGGGTAGGCTTTAGGAATTTCATGACATAACTAATGTCAAAAAATATATCAAAAAATAATAATGATCTCAATATTCTGTTAACAAATAAAGTAGGTAATCAAGACGTCACCTCAGACCTTAGCTTAAAACATGTTACTACCAAACTAATCATAAATTAATCTAGATGTGTCAGAGATAAACAATGATTACATTTTAATCAAACTAATACTTATACACTTATTTTGTAAGAGTACAATGTAAATTTTCAATAAATGAATAAAAAATATTGTAGAATTGCACTAGGTAGTATGAAAAGTCGACGACTTCAATAAACATATATTGAGTAGAACCAATAGAAATATAAAAACGTTGAATAAAATGTGTTCAAAATACCGCAAAATGCGTAATAAACTATTGAGATTTCATACATCTGTATAAGTTCGATTATTGCATATGTTTAGTGACTATTTAATAAAATTACGGTGGCCTTAAGATTCATAATATTTAATACATCGATTTAGTAATATTTATGCAACATTAAAGTAACTTCCTCATCTGTATATGCACTTTAAAACGTACATGTTATATTCAAGCAGTTAGAGTAAATAGAAATCTAGGTAGATATAAGAGGATAGTCACTATTTTTTAACTAAAATGGATTTTAAGAAGGCTATCATGGCTTTTCATATAATCCTGTATTAGTATGGATTTTAAAAATATATGAGGAGTTCTAGTGATTCTAAAATGATAAATACGGTGACTATAGGTCGCGACGAAACCTGACGAGCTTCGCTTGTTCAATTATAGGATTAAGCGAAACATTAGGCAAAGAGTCATCCTTAAGATAACTAACATAATAAATAACCACTCTAACACCAAACACAAAAATATGTTGTAACTTATTACCAGTTAGTATCATTTTAAAAGCTATTGATGATCTTATTAAGGATTTAAGTCGTATATAACTTTCGAAAGTCTTGTATAAACGTATTTGTACAATTCTACAAGTCTTGTTGGACTTTGGATAAATAGTTAATTGTTAAAGGGCTTCTTTTACAATTTTTGTCCTATCTAATACTAATAGATTTCTTGTCTCCAACTTCACTTCATTAATCTATTTTTCTTTACTGTTTTATTTTTCTGCATAAATTCTATCTAACTTTTTGGTTGTTTACGTACATTAATTGCGATATTTTTCATTCTTTATCTTGTTTTCTCAACTCAACCTTATTAGTGAATCAAATCGCATTTTAATATATTTAATATTT